TTTAGCTCCTCATTAGTTCACATTGTGGTTGTTTATGATTTGATACTAGACTGATGCACTTCATTTCATCTATGAATACTCCTAATAATAGACTTTTTCATTTGTGGTTGTTCGTCATTTTTATGAAACTGATTTAACTTCATTACAAATGATGTTTAGGGAATTTGTTTTCTAATTATAGTTCATATGTCTGGTTGTTTTATTCTATCTATGAGTTTAACTGTATTTCAAAGTATAATGTATAGTTCATATCGTCATGGACCCAGAGGAAGTCCGACGCCGACGTCGGAATGCAGCCATAAATATACTAGTGCATTACTATAATACGTATGTTTATCGTGAGCCTTATACGAAACTGTATGAATTCCTACGTCTTTATGTATGAAAACACGACTTCATATGGCTTGAGGTGCTTTTAAAAATTTTACATTTTATGCTTCTAAAATATGTTTGTAAATTTTAATATGTATAGATGAATTAATATTTTTATACATTGATATATAGATAAAGATAAATTTTAAACCTATATATTTTCAAAATTACAAAATAATTTTTAAAAATTATCTATAAAAAGGAATATTAAAAACAATTTATTTCATTTAATTAATTAAGAAATAATATTTTTATAAATTTTATGTATATTACACTCATATTTATACAAATAAACCAAAAATTAAAAACATTTTTAACAAACAGGGGCAGTATGGTCGTTTTTACATGAGACAGCTGGCCCACGGCATTTTTTCACGCAGCTGCACCAAACAGACAGTCAGCTTCCCCGTAGTTGCTTGGGGCAGCGCAGCTGCAGCTGCGCCAAACAGACCCATAGTTTCTCTACTTTTGGACATCATATTCTTTGAATTTATTTTAAACAATATATGGGTCCTTTTTAGAAACGGTGTGGATATGGGTCCTTTAAAGAATATATGTGATTATTTTGGACATCTGAAAAGCTGAAAAGCTGAGAAGCTGCAGTTTCGTCGTGGTCGTAGTTTTACAGTTTTTTTTCATTCTGCTTCTCCTAGAATATACATCATATTCTTTGAATTTCTTTTTTAAGTGATATCAAACTGCGATGTGGATGTGATTATGGGTCCTTTTTAGAAACGGTGGCTCGGTAATTGGTAGTTGTCCTCTGTCATTATTTTGTATTTTGAGGGCTTCATAATATTTTAATTTGTTGTATCGTGCATGATTCCCCTTTGCTATCTTAAGCATACAGATGATGGATTGGTTTTTTGTTTCTTAGATTATGAATGTGTTTTCGGGGTCTTATTTTTTTCTTGCCACAATTTTATCTATTACCACCAGCATGTTTTTCTTATAGAATTTCTATTTTAATTATTTTATAAAAAGGGAAAACTGGCTTAACCATAACATTACTTTATTTTCACTCTGGTTTCTTGACCAAAGGAAAATATGTTGAGATTTTCATACCTATTTTATACTATTTTTGATGATATTGCACTTTATTTTATACTATTTTTGATGATATTGCACTTTAAAGAAATGTATTTTTGATGTTTTATTGCAGGAATGATGAATTAGGGTCATTGGAGCAAAAATATGCGAAAATGAGCGAATTTAGAGCAAAAAGACCAAAATGTGAAGAATTGAATTAGGGTGCCGACAGCCCCCCCCGCCCCCGCCGATGGCGAGATTTTCCCGAGACTCCAGAATTAATTCATTAAGAAGGTCCGCCGCCGACGCCCTCGAGGCCGCCGACGGCGAGCTCGGCGGTTATGACCAATCAGGTTTTGGATAAGGACAAATTTTGAAGGGATGCTTAAGCAACTCTTGGAAAAACTCATCCACAATTTTAAAAGAAGATTTTGGCCGAACATGGAGAGGACTCTAGAGTTCCTGGAGGTTAGAAAGGTTCCATTAGTGTTTGCTAAAGTGTAAAAAATTGTGAGAAATTTTTGAGAGATTGTGAGAGTGGAGGGAAAGTGAGAGATTTCTTCATCCTTGCTGCTTCGAAGAGGAATTCTGTGCTGTAAAGAAATGAGGAGATTTAGAGGAACTTCGAGGAGTTTTCTTGGGG